AGTAGGTTACAGGCATGGCAGCTAGTGTAGAACCCTTGGGTGGACTACTTAAATAGGTAACCAAAAGTTACATGTATAGCTAGTTACATACTTACCTTGTACAAGTCATATGTAATGCATTGACCAAAAACACAATAAAGGCGGTAGCTCCCAATAACATCAGCTTTAACAAAAAAAAAAAAAAAGATTTCATTATAGTTAATAAAAAAGACATAATTATACTGTAAAAGCTATCCAAGATTTCGTTATCAAAATTTTGTATTTTCTTGATTGATTCATTAATTATAAAAAAGCAATAATTTGTCTTTGTAATTTAAAAACTTTATAACTTTCATAGTTCAAAAATTACTTTGTGAATAATTATTTTTTAGATAATCATCTTTTTTTTTAAAAAAAAAAAACAATTATTCTTTTTCTTAAGTAATTTTTTTTTAAGTAATCATTTTTTTTTTGTTTTTTTTTTGTATAAACATAATTTCAAAAATTACAATCATCAGTATCAAATCCAAACCTAAAAAGTCAAATACATTTTCATATTTCATATAATCTTAAAGTATAAAGTAATTGTAATGCAAAAATCATAATTCACCATCTGTACATTCTTTGTTAACACTGTATAAAATCCAAATCTGATAATTCAAAAACCTTTTTGCACTTACTTTTTCCATATAGTAAAAACATTAATAAGTCTTTTACTTATACTTAAAAAGTAATTACTTTTAAATTCGATTCTCTCTGTTCAAAATCTAAAATCATTAAATAATTTCCATTAAGTGAAATATAAATCAAAATAATTACTATAGAATCAATCTTAAATGATATTTTCTATTTAAAAACTTTAAATATAAAAACTATACAAACTATTGAACCTATTATCAAAAATGCATTGCCCTCAAATTACAAATATTTTATAGAATCTTTTGAACAAATTTTGCTTCATGAGTTTTTAGGTGCTTATGAAAATTCATTTATAACTGAGTTTTACATAAGTATTACTAATATTGAAGATTCAAAAGTATGGCTTCAGCAATTTATAGACTTACATAAAGTAACGATGCGAGAAACACAAGGACGCACCATCAAAGGCATTTGTTATATCCTCTCAAAACAGTTTTATTGTATTCACAGTCATATTGTAAAATCAAAACAAGGAAGTTAGCGAATTGAAAATAATGAAACTAATAAAAAAAGTACAAGAAATCATGATACTGATTGTTCAGCAAAATTAAAGATTCAACTTCAAAAAAATACTAGCTGCTATTTATGTGTTGTTTCTTTAAATTTTCATCATAATCATCCTCTTAAATCGAGCCATGTTATGAGTTTTCATTCAGTTTCTGATGAAACAAAAAGTGTGCTCTTTGAGCTTTTTGATGCTGGACATAATCCTAGTACTGTGTATCACATATACTAGGAACAAATGTAGCTAAAGTATGAAAATGATGAAGAATTTTTAGCTGACAGAGCAATAATTCCACATAGAAATGATGTATATTATCTTTATCAAAAACATCATGAGCTATGTATAGGTAATCAAAATAGTGAAAGTATGTTTGCTCAGTTGGAAGAAGAAGTTAGGAGCTTTAATAATAATAAAAAAGGCAATGCATAGATGCAACCATATGTTGTTTCAGAAAAAGACAAACCTGGACAACTATTTGTTCTTGTTATTGTTATGAATCTTATGAAACATTGTTATACATTAAAAGAAGCAGGTGAGTTGGTTTATATGAATATGACTGCTGGGCTTGATATTCTTAATACTCCTCTACTGATTCTCTCAACAAGTACACCTGTTGGTGGCCTACCTCTTGCAGTAATTATTACATCAGATAAGACAGCAGATACCTTTTCAAAGGCATTAGATGTATTGAAACTCATAATTCAACCTATAGAGTTTGGTGAACATGAATCTCTAAGTGGACCACAGGTAATAATAATGGATGATTGTAAAGCAGAACAAATAGTATTACAAAATACTTGGAAACATACAACCTTGCTTTTATGTATCTTTCATTTTTTATAAGTGATGTGGAGGTGGTTTTGGGATGGCAAACATAATATTCATAAAAATGACTGTGCAATTCTAATTGAACTTATAAAACAAATTGTTTTTTCAAAAACAAAAGTAGCACTTAATCAAGTATATATAAACTTAACCAGTAATCAAACCTATTTAAAATACCCTAATTTTCAAAATCATTTTAAAAACTTTTGGAGTCGATGTTCTAAATGGGCTATTGCATTTCATTAGGAACTACTGATCTGGGATAATAATACCAACAATTATGCAGAAGCTGGAATCAGTTTTGAAGGATATTATCTTCAATCAGGTGCAAGCATATAATGTTATACAAATTTTTTAATTTATAGTAAATACAATGAATCTTTACTATGTCTATAGATTATTGGCTGTGGCTCATAACAAATTAGATAGTTTTATAGTGCTTCATTTTTGACTTACTGGATGGCAAATTGGTAAAAAAGATGATATTGAAGTCATGGATCTAGATTCAATGGTATTTAGATATAAAAGTAGTAAATATTAGAATGTGTGATACTATATTAACATGAAACTTGGACTTATGAATGTAATTTAATAGGAAGGACATGTAAACATCAAGCCTCTGTAGCATCATACTTTCATGTATGTGGAATAAATTAAATACCTATGATGTCTGCAAGTAAATGATATCATTATGCCTATTTGGCATTAGACGAAAAATGTAAGCCACTTAGTTTTTATGCAGATCTTCATTAGGAACAGATTGAAAAGGATGAAAATGCATATCTAATAGCGAATAAAAAATTAATGCTTAATAATATCACCCTAATAAATGAAGATAACAATAATAATATAAATAGTTTTGATAAAGAAAACATAGTTTCACTTGAATCTTTCTCTTTCTTCTCATTCTCTACTATTTTAAAAAATGTTGATGATAAGGATAATGATAGTATTAATGATAATGTTTATAGCACCGACAGTGTTTATAGTAATAGTATTGATAGTGATGACAATACTAGCAACAATGATAATGATTATAAAAGTAGTAATAGTGATGACAATATTAAAAGTAAACTTTATTGGTTCTGTAGTGATCTAGAAAATTTCCTAGAACAAAAAGATTATCCTGAATTGAATAAAAGTGTTCAAAAGTTTATAAAATCATATAAAAAATGTCAATCTAAGAAAGATACTTTTGTTCTTCCATCTATGGTATCTTTTTTTTAGAGCTGTAATAAAGATGCAGGTCTGATTATGGGTAATAGTCATTAGCCTGATAGAAAAAGAATATGGGTTCAAGTTGCTGCTACTTCATGATGTAGAGAAGGTTCAAAACATGGAATCAAAAAGATATAACAAGAAAGACCGAAAAAAAGACCCCAAATTAATAGCAACATTGAAACACAAGAATTTGATCACTTTAATATGCCAACATGAAAAAACAGCAAAAAAAAGTTCTCACAACTTAAGTAAGGCTTTATTAGAAAATCAACCTAACAGTGCAAAATAAGTAGTATTTTTCATCAAAAATTCTTTTTTCTTTATTATAATAATATATATTTCTATACATATACATTACAATAACAATAAAATAAAATAAAAAATAGAAAAAAAATACAAGAGAATTAAGTTTTGTCAATGTAAATTTTTAAAATACATATGTTATCTAATTTAATGCATGTGATATTGTTACTAGTGATGTGTCATTTATATGATACGTATACAGATTTTTTTAGCATACAGTACGTACAGTACGTACAGTACGTATAGTGCATATAGTATATATAGCATGACATTATGCATAGTATATGTATGATATATAAACTATCTATATGCAAAATTTCGCAAGAAATAATTTTACTTAGAATACAAAAGGTGGTTTCATAATAAAACTTTTGAGATATGAATGAGTTTATAATTTGTTCTAGAATATTCTAAAAAATTTTTTGCATGCTGTACTATATGCAGCATATCACTAATTATTATACAACATTTAGATGTTGTCTCGTAATCCAAACTAGGCACGGATTTAAAATTCACAATTTGTGATGTGTTTCAATGATTTATCAATATATTTTATTTCTTTTTTTTAATTACTTTGCTTATTGTTGGTTTAGTGTTCTCTTTGTTCACTAACATCTATTTTTGCTTTCTTTTGTCTTGTAATAACTTCTTGATTTTAGTCTTTATTATTATAATATTTGTTTGTTATATTTGAAACTCAGCTTAGACAATTCTATCTACTTGATTACTTAACATCTTTTATTCAATTTCAGCAAACTATTTTGCTTTTCTTCTTTTTTGTATACTTGTTTATAATGCTTTAAACTTTTTTCACATAATTATTCTTTTGCCTTCTTGATCTATTAGCTGTTGTACAAAAAACAGTCTACATTTTATTATCATTCTATTAGCTATTCTAAATGTTTTATTTTCTACTAAACTCTGTACAATTTTACCTATACTAGAAACTTGCCAAAGAACACCTTCTGTTTTTATTCTTATATCTTTTTTACTTGCTCTTAACAGTACTAAGTATATTAGATTTTTCTTTTAAATCTTTTTTAAATTACTTGCATATGCTGTATTTATCTTCTCTGATATTAACTTTGCTAAAGCATATTCTTGTTTTACTTGTATTCTTGTCATTTTACTAACTTTATCTGGCTTATTTAGTCTTCTTTGTAAAGAAATTAACTAATTATTAAATACTTTTTGACTTAATATTTTACATCTTTTTATCAACTCTCCCTGATAATTACTTGTACTGAATTTCACATTAACAAAAACAGAAAACTTATTGGAGAAAGCAGAAGAGGCTACTATACAAATAACGGCTTTTATAAAGGTCAAAGTGGTTTTTTTATACTGGACTTCTTTATATATTTAGCAAGCAAACTAAAAGCATGTATATACAAGATAACTGGCAGAAGGTGCCCTTGTATAACAAATT